TATTCATCGACATAACTAACTTTAGCAGTAGACGCCCGAGCAAGCGACACTCTTGCGATTATGTCAAGTCTGGATTCCAATGTGAAACAGCCGTGTCCCACTCTTGGGGCCAATATGCGCCGTACTACTCGGTGCCGTCTGAAATACCAAACGACATCCCCAAGGGGTGCGAAGTAACCTTTGCACAAATACTATCGCGTCATGGAGCTCGCGATCCCACTGAAGGCAAGAGTTTATCATACGCGAAACTCATCGACAACATCCACAGCAATGTGACCCGTTATGAGAAGCACTATCATTTCATCAAAGATTACAAGTACACGCTGGGTGCCGACCAGCTTACGGTGTTTGGCCAGCAACAGCTCGTGAATTCAGGCATCAAATTTTACAAGCGGTATGAGAAGATTGCGAGGAACGTCTCGCCCTTCGTCAGGAGCGCCGGTCAGCAGCGTGTGGTTGATTCGGCGGTGAACTGGACGCAGGGCTTCCACCAGGCTCGCTTGGCAGACAAGAAGGCCAAATTCCCGGATGCCTACCCTTATGAGCCAGTCATACTCCCCGAAGAGGACGGGTTCAATAATACCCTCAGTCCGATGACTTGCACTGCTTTCGAGGAGGGTCCAGATACTGGGAACGCTGCCCAAATGATCTGGGTTGACACGTTCGTCCCGGCAATTGCGGAGCGGGTCAACAAGAATCTGGCTGGAGCCAACTTGTCAAATTCCGATATCATCCACCTCATGGACATATGTCCTTTTGAGACGGTCGCAAACGTCGACGGTCATCTTTCACCATTCTGTGGTCTGTTCACGAAAGACGAGTGGCATAGTTTTGACTATTATCAGTCCCTCGGCAAGTGGTACGGCTACACTAACGGCAGCCCACTAGGGCCAACCCAAGGCGTTGGCTTTGTCAATGAGCTAATTGCTAGACTCACGGGCCAGCCGGTGGCCGACGCCACCAGCACGAATTCCACTCTGGACAGCTCTCGAAAGAGCTTCCCATTGGACAGCATACTCTACGCAGACTTTAGTCATGATAATGACATGTCAGGTGTGTTTGGCGCGATGGGTCTTTACAACGCCACGGAGCCCCTCTCGAACACGACGAAGGCGAGCCCGAGGAAGAGCGGGGGTTACGCGGCCAGCTGGGTCGTGCCCTTTGCGGCGAGGATGTATGTGGAGAAGATGCAGTGCAAAGGCACCGAGGAAGAGTTCGTGCGGGTGCTCATCAACGATAGAGTGATCCCGCTGCAGAACTGCGACGTCGACGAACTAGGCCGCTGCACGTTGAGCAAGTATGTGGACAGCTTGAGCTTCGCTAGGCAAGGGGGGCATTGGGATTTGTGCTATGAATAAATGACGTCGGCTATGCCGCCGCGGCGTTGAACAGATTGGCGTCTGGTCTAAATTAGTCGACTTCCGGATTTAGAATTTGCTTGTGAGAGAGAGAGAAAGAGCAAGATAGAGAGGGATAGAGCGAGCTCGTGTGAGGTAATTTGGTTAGAGCGTTTCTGCCTGTCATCAGTTGGTCATCAGGCAAACTCCCTCCGTGGCGAATCGTGGGCAATGGTATACAGCAGACACTACTGTACAGAATACATACAATACACTACACTAGATAGGTAGAATAGAACCATTCTATGAAAGTTTACGGATCCAACCAGCTCTCAGCTCCCCTTCCCTTCCCTTCCCTTCACTTTCCGGAGAGGGGAATCTCGCCCCCTTTTTTTTCTTGGGATCCCACACCGCATACGTAACATCATGACATCCCAACTCAAATATCACAACTGAGATTGGCCCTCGTATCATGTATGACCGAGAGAAAAAAAAACGGCCTTACCACTTTTCGGGGAGCACAAAACAAGTCCCGACAGGATTATATGGGGAAATAGGGTCACGAGGCAGATTTGGCGTGCAATTTCTCACCCGTTCTCCTCCGGCCGGTGAGACATACAGAGGGCTGATTGAAGATGCCCAGCGGGCTGGCGGCGCTGATAGGTCGACGAAGTGAGACATTGGGAGGGGACGTTGAGGCTTGGGTTGGTTTACCCACTAGGTGCATGTCATGCAAGAATTGAATCCGAATCTATCGTCTTATCCCTTTTTGGGTGCTGTAGATTGACTGATCTTCATGCAGCAACAGCACAGGCCATCTCTACGCTAGTGTACTTATTCAAGATGCTATTTACAGCACGGAATGATGTATCTCCCTACACTAAGTATGTCATAGAAGAAATAGTGGGCACGGGTGTCGTGCATTGGTGTCCCTAGTGGAGCTCAGCTCCCCTGTCGAAAGAGTGGCTTGGACAGGTCGGCGGCCGCTTTGGTAATCCAATTGGAAGGAATGGAAGGGGACTGGGCAGAGCTGGGTAAGGAACTGGGTAAGGAGCTGGGTATCTTGTACTAGATTGGTGGAAGGACAAGCCCCAATCCTGCCTCAACTTAGCAATAACTAAGCTCAGGTCACTAGCGTAAGCCTACAACAAGTAACAACGCCGGTTCCGAGCCAAACTAAACTACACCGCAGTAATTACAATGTACAGATGCATGAAGCGAACATGATCTTTGGTCCGACCACACACTACTACCTCTGTACCTGCGCCTGACGATTTGACCAACCATCCATCCCATCTCCACCCCTCTTCCCTACCTACCGACCGGCCGTCCGTGTCGTCGGTCCCATTGACGACGACGACGCTCCCACCCCCTCCTGCTCTCAAGGCTTGGTAGTGTGGGTTGCGTAAGTGGGCTAGCTGGTGAGCAAGCAAGCAATCAAGCAAGCGAATGACCGACGAGTGTGCTGCCTCCGGAGCTCTCCATCCTGCTAGTCCGTTCGTCCGTCCGTCCATTCGATCTCCTCCCACCTGAAAGATGGCCGTCGGAGCCGTGGGAACCTTTTTCATCGTCCTCGTCGTCCTGCTGGTTGTCGCCGCTGTCGGCTGGGTCGTCTTCACGCAGCTGCGCGCAAGACGCTTAGGGGTACGTCCTAGATTGACTTTCCACTATCTCGCGCATCATCATCATCACTATCATCGTCATTATGCTTATGCTTGTCTCACAACCCTGACCGTGGCCTCCTTGGCCGTCACATAACTACCAACCAATCGCAAGTCAACAGCCAACTAAAATGATATGATGAAAATGCCTCCTCTTTCTATCTGCCCTAGATACCACATACATACTTACCCTACCCCTTGCGCCGGCATTCCCGCCCTCCGCGTGGTTTCGCCACATCAGTCGATCGATCAAACAAGCTAACATGTGAATACCACCTCTACAGCTCCCCTCCCCACCATTGTCCTCCTACATCCCCTTCGTACGCTCCTCACACCAGTCATCCTTCGGAGGCCCGCAGCCGAGACCCGGTGGCGTCCGGGGATGGATAAGCGATCGGTTCCAATCGCTCAAGAACCCACGCTCAGCAGCCGGCGCATACGAACAGCCTAGCGTGCCCGCCGGCCGCCGCGGCTTCGGACCGCTCGACCCGGACGAGGCCTGGGACGCGCGCGTGGGCCACGAGACCTACGGGGTCGGCGCCTACTACACCGAGGACCAGGAGCTGGAAGACAGAGGAGGGTATCACGGCCGCGGAGGGGGCCCATACTCGGGATCCGAATACCAGATGAACGTTGCAGGCGATGGCGCAGACGAGACCAGAGGGCGCAGTCCCATCCCGCGCCCCGCCGGCCTCGATGTGCCTGCTGGTAGGCTGTCTGCTACGGGTACGGGGCCAGGGGCAGGAGGCCGCCAGAATCCCTTCGACGATGCCGCTGCTGAGCCGAGCAATCTCAGCTTGAGAGGTGTTAGTCCGAGACCCATCGATACGCGCACGGCAGCCGCCACTCCGGGCGCGACGCACGATAGTCCTACGTCGGTCGCGGAGCGGAGGTCGGTGTTCAGAGAGGACGTATGATCTCACGGGCCATCCGATAGGGCCGAGTTATAGAGGTCAGTTATGCGACTTGGTATACCGGAGCATCAGGAGATCAAGCCCAGCTGCGCTGAACTTCTCACCTATCAACCTGAGCAAGTTATTGGAGGTATCAGAGGCGAGTCAACCCCTCCAGCAACAACCACATGGAGTACCGCGGAGCGGCAGAGAGGAGGTTTTTTTCTCCGTGTGTGGGCGCTTCAATTAGGGACAGAAAAGACCGGGTTCTTTCTTCGTGCTTGTATTTTCATGTATTGATTGAGATGAGGGCAGTTTGGGCACGGCATGTTAAGAGGAGCAGGGACGGCGTTTAGGCATCAAGCACGTTCATCATTACCTAGGGATTATGAATAAGAGACGGGGATGGTCTGGGGCGGTCTTTGCGATACAAAAAGAAATCAGGCGTATTGAATATTACTACTTTTCATGTTGTACTCTTTTTGCTCGTCCCTTTCTAATAGTCTACGTCTTTAATTTGTATCGCCAGGGAGTGTATTCTTGTCAAAAGGCACCGGCTCAAAATTGGATTACGGAGGATAGGTACGCGTGGGAGTTGGGAAGGACCCAAAGCAACGGCTAGGGATCGTTGTCAGGTATCTAACCTATATATGTTAACCCTTGCGGACAAGGGCGCCTGGTAAAGAGGCTTCTATCTAAGTTGAAGCAGACAGACATGCTCAATTATATATACATGCATACGCCCTTATTATAGCGATTACGCGCCTTAGGAGAGACGGGCAAAATTAATCAAATACTCCCCATTATGGCTAGCTACCCGACATGTTACCTAATACTATTACTTAGTTACTTACACACAACAATGCTTTGCTGTACGGCTTTAAAACCTAATCGGCTCGTTTTTCAGGCAGGGTTTGAGTTGTGACGATAACAATTCTGTAGGTATCTAGAGTTACTTAGTATTGCAGGGGTAGCTTTAACGACAGATAAGCTACTATCCACACTATGCCATCACAAACTACGTCACAAGAGAAACAAGAGAGAAAAAAGGGCCACATCTAGTGGCGAGTTAGTTAAAAAATCATGCCTACAGGCCAAAAATGAATGGACTCCGAATCGGGGAATCGAACCCCGAGCCTGACGGTATTTCTAGTTTCCTTACAACACAGGGTCGCAAGGAAGAGTGAAAACGTCAAATGTTAACCGTTACACCAATTCGGAAAAGACGAGAAAATCAAACATCATACTGATAGCATGATGGGATGCAATTGCGACCTCGGCCGGACTCGAACCGACAATCTCTAGAGAATCAGATATTGACTACGCAGGTAGTATCGCCGAAATCTAGCGCCCTAGCCATTAGGCCACGAAGCCGTCGATCACTAGTGGTGATGGATGGGATGGGCTGGCTCTAACGAGGGTCCAATGTCTAGACTCCGGAGTCGAAAGGAGTGGATAATCGGTTGATATGGGATATTAGTGGTATTTAGAGGCTGAGTAAATAATTCTATATTAGATGATAGTCTTTTTATGGGTTGTGCGTTAGCATGGTCTTGTTATAGCGGCCAGATGGAGTACGTGACATGACAATATAACTCCCAAGTTGTCACGGGACATAGCCGAGAGCCTTATTCTAGGTTTGGAGTGCGAGAACTAGAAACTAGCCGCCCAGCAAAAATACGATCGTGTGGGAGTTAAGATTTTGTTTTATGGTTCCGTGACTATTGATTGTGAGGAATATAATGCAAGAGGGGATAAAATACCGGTAAAGCGGCTTATCCTAGGAGACATACCTAAGCCGGTGCAATTTACATAGCTGAAATCAAGATTTTTGTTTTATCCCAGCACTGGTATGAGACCTTTGCGGAGCTATCACTGGAGTCCTAACAGGATTAATTCTATGGCAACTAAAACCTCCTCGTTGATACTAAAATACCGAGGGAAATATGGAAGCCGTATGGGGTCTATCTAGCGCCAATGTTTCTAGTCTATTCGTTTTTCATGTTTCTATGTATAGCCGCCGCTATTGTCGTTGCATAGTGCCTCTACTTAGCCAGATAGGTCTGTCGGGCCTTCATACAAGTCGCTACATTTACATAGCCAGTATGATAGGTACAGTACACGTATAGCTAACTGCAGACAGTCAAGTGCTCGACTTGACAACGTTCTGCCCTTTATAGCGTTACGGTATTATTATATGCAGTTAGAGATCGTGACAGCCGGGTTCTAATATTTAATATTCTCTATTCCAAAAACTTCGAATACTGAGGAAAAATTCAGCAATCTTCACAATGGTCTCTATCTGTATCTTAGAATGCTCATATAGTCAATGTCTCCAATATCACGATATTATAGTCTCAGAAATACTATCTGGAACATATGATACTAAAACTCGACTCTTAGTGTTGGCTTCGCAGTCTAAATGGTATAGTTATGTAGTGTATAAGTGTGTATTATCCTGACTTGAGTGAGGACTTCTATTGGCAGCCTTCCTGTAGCCTCTCGTAACTTAGCCTCTCTTAATAACCTGCATACATCTTGGAAAGTTCTAATTGAACCTAGGGGAGGCATGGGAACAAGGGGCTATATTGGCTGGGCGTGGCGTGTAGCTTCTCCAATGTGGTCTCCGGTCGTGTGACACCATGTTCTGCTCTTGACATCCACCGTTGCTCTTATTACAGCCAGATGGTTTCCTCTCTCGTCAAATACTCACCAACAAGCCCTGTTATAAATGGAGCCCCCACGATCCAGAATTGATCATGGAACCAAGCGCCACAGCTCTCCGGTGACTCTAGATCGACATCGTAGATATAGTACGTTAGTGCGAGGCCGACACCCCCAACGGTACCCAAGAAATAAAATGTCCCAAAGCCGGCCCATACCCCACACATGGCTAAGAGCCCAACTTGGCCTGCGCTGAGCACGCTCGCAAGTAGCTTTGTGCTGTTTTTGAACTTCAGTGCCATGCCTTTAACACCAGCTTTCGCGTCATCCGCCACATCTTGGTGGGCGTAGATAGTGTCGTAGGTGATAGTCCACAAGATGTTTGCGCCAAAAATAGCAAGCGTCGCTTTTCCTGTCGCCTCAGTCTTGCCTTTCTGGTACTTCAGGTGCCGGCTTGGGGGATCAAACTGAAAAGGCAGAACGAAAGGGAAAGGTTCCATGCCCAACGCCGCAACGCAGAAGAATACAGCCCACGCAAACGGCACTCCGAGGACTACCTGTGGGTAGTACGTCACACGCTTCATGAGAGCGTATAGGCCGAAGAGAAAAACCATGAAGAGGAAATGAGGTACGCAGGCTGCCGGGAAGCATAGAACGGTGACGGGATATAGCACGGCGAGCTGCAGCACTGTGAACAGGTGCGCCTTGGAAGTCGACACAGCGCCCCGGGCCACGGGGCGGTGGCGACAGCGGACGACTCTCCTGTCGAAGTCCTGATCTACGGTGTCATTCCATGTGCAAGCCGCACCGCGCAATACGATGTTGAACGGCAGCAAGATTGCCGCCAAGCATAGCAGCTCGACGGGATCAGGGACTGGCGAGACTATGCAGGCACTGTAGGCGAGGCCGATGAGGTATGGGAAGTAGAACGCATAGAGCCCGCCAGGCCGGTCTATACGCATGAGCTGGGCGTATGGGACCCATGAGCGCGGTAGTTTGGATAGAACCCCTGTAGTCGGATCCGAGTACGCGGGGAGGTGTGGGAAGTAGTTTGCGACTGGGTTCTTATTGCTACCAGCCATAGTCTTCTCCTCTGGTAGAGTAATAGGGTTTGATGTACGAGTCTTAGGCATTGTATAGTCGCTTACTTCAAGTATAGACAAGTTCTTGTTTCTTGATATGGGGTTGGGTTTTCTGGATAAAAGCTTTTTATCAGGTATTCATAGTAAGGCATAGATGTCAAAATCAACTTCAAACCGGTTACCAAGATAAAGCAATAACTAGCTATCGACTACAAGTACGAGTTTGCAACGGTGGTTTTATATACACCGAGGATTTAGTTTAGTTACTGAGACCTGCATACGAGTTAGGAGTCCGCAATCATTTTGCCCATAGAAGCGGCGAGTATATGATTCGATGTCTGTGATTGGCCGCTACTACCTCATGCTGACAATTCCTGTCTCAGAAAGTACGAAGATCGTGAGCCCAAATGCATGGCCAAGTGATCATATCACTGTGAAGGTGAGAGAGGTGCCACTTGCCTACATCGCGAGACGTGACGGGTCGGTGATTGATGCCGGTATCAATATTGATAGGTCCTTCACCTATTCCTTTAATCTATTTGGTGAAAAGCCTACATGGAACTAGCGCAAGTACCAGCATTATAAGTGGTTACTACGCTGCAATACGATGGCAGAGACTCTCGACTACCGAAAATGAGACGTGGTCCCGCCCCGACGTCGCATCGGCGGCCTTATCAACCCGTTTTCATAAAGTGACTTTCCTCCCACCCGGGTATTTGGTCGTTGGGATCGGCACCGCCGGTCGGTATCTTAATTTCGGTATTTGGGTTTAGTAAAAGTTTGTAGATTTCATCCTATCAGAGTCCTAGGTCTTCGCATAGGCGATGTGTTCTCGGGGTTAAGTCACAGCTATCGATCTGGATTATACTTCAAACCCTCTTAGTTCTTCTTATTGTACTTGAGTAAACCTGAAGGCGCCGTAACAACATGTCACTCCTACTCTGGCCTCCGACGGTTCCTGGCATTTTTGTGCTACCGCTGGTTATCCCGATCCTAATTGCTTGCGTCTTCCTGCTTCCGCCTCACCGTCGAGCTCGAATAATTGGTAGAAAATATGTTTTACCCCCCGGGCCCAAAGGCTCTCTTCTGCTCGGCTCATTACGGCCATGGCTTAAGGCAAGGAGGAATGGCGCTCTGGTCTCTTGGGTACGTCACTTAATTGCCGAGTTAAGATGTTTCGTTTGTCACTTGTTCACTGACTTGCCTATAGCTTCAGGAACAGGCGCAATACGGTGAGATGACAACATTGAGTATGGGAACTAAAACCTGGGTCTTGCTGAACAGCGAGAGGGTTCTCAATGAGATAATTGCCAAGAGAGCTGGCATCACCCACGAGAGACCGTACTTCCCAATTGCAGGAGGATTGGTCAGTAAGAAACTCCGGCTCTTTCTGCAGAAGACAGAGCAATGGAGGGAGGGCCGACGACTACTACATCAACTCATGACTGGAGAAGGCTTAAAGGTTCATAGCGATCTTGTAGAGGAGGCAAGTTTAGGGCTGCTACAAGCCTATCTGGATGAACCAAATGCCTGGTACGTGCACAATTATCGCTACCCCTTAGCCATCATCTATCGGATTGTTACGGGCACGACATTGCGGAAAACAAGAGGCGAGCTGGAAGACTTACAGAAGGTGACATCGACTTTCTTAACTTCCATCAACAGCAGTCTTGTGGATTTCTTCCCGCAGATCAGTGTGTTGCCTAAGCACCTTCAATTCTGGCGGAGACACTGGGAAACCATGGGAGACTTCCACTACAGCGTCTTCAAGCATTGGTGGTCGGAGCTCAAAGGCGAACACATTCCGGAATCTTCCTTTGTCCGAAAGACAATGTTGGGGGAATATTCGGGGTCCGACGATCAGGCCATGTACATCACGCTATTCATCCTCACTGCCGGCTCCGACAACCCTCGCATGACAATGAACGCGTTCCTCATGGCTTGCATTGCGTGGCCGGAGCCCATCCAACGTATGCGTCTCGAGTTGGACCGCATATGTGGCGCTGACACTTATCGGCTGCCCGGCATAGAGGATGTGGTAAGCGCGCCGTACACCTCGGCAGTGATGAAAGAAGTGCTTCGGTGGCGCCCAACTGTACCTCTGATTCCTCAACGGGTGTCAGTCGAGGACTTTGAATTTGAGGGGTACAGATTTCCCTCGGGGACAGAGTTTCTTGTCAACAACATTTCCGTGTGCTACAGTGGGTTTGACGACCCTGCCAGCTTCAAGCCTGAGCGGTGGCTTGGGGAGAAGGACGGAAAGCAGAACGGTGCCCAATCCACTAATAGCGGCGTTGAACACAACCTCTGGCAGTTCGCTTTCAATGCTGGCAGACGATCCTGCGTAGGGTACAAGCTAGCACAGAAGGAGATGTTCGTCGCGTTTTCTCGATTGGTCTACTGCTTTGACTTTTCTCCTGCGGGAGGATTCGACGACAAGGAGCTCAATGCCTTTGCGCCGGGCCAACCCTTCCCCGTTAGGGCGACGGTAAGGTCCCCGGCACATGAGCGGTTAATCCGCAACGAAGCGATCAAATGTGGGATCTGGTGAGCCTGAGGGCTATCGTGGATCGGGAAGGTCAGCAGCCCCTCACACGCATGCGCAACATGCCATCATAGACGGTTGCC